ACCCTAATAATACATTACATCATCTTTCTTCTTCTTTAGTAGCTCAATCGTTCTAAATATTATATGTTTTGGATACTAGAACCATCACTCTTATTTTGGAATTTTTTCTCACAAAAGAGTAGTGCGGGGGGGGGGGGGGGGGGGGGGGGGGAGGGGGGGTACGAGAAAATGATTTCTCCTTGATGTTTTATCAAAGTGAATTTGTGGAAGGCTTATGATACTATAGCCTAGAAATTCCTTAAATCTGTTCTTGTAGTCATGAGGTCCCTAAAGGTTTTGTGAATTGAATTATGGAATGTGTGGAAACAACATCCTTATGTGTGACAGTCAATGGTGTTCTACATGGTCATTTTAAAGGTACTAGGAGGTTGAGGTAAGGGGGTCCTCTGTCTCATGTTCTTTGTCCTTTATGTGTGGAGTATCTTTACAGGCTCCTCAACTATGAATCTAGAAATAATGATTTTAATTTTTACATAAGTGTAGTAAACTGAAGCTCACTCATTTGATCTTTGTTGATGATTTAATGTTATTTGTAAGGGGGTGTCAAATATGTTAGAGTTCTTATGAAATGTATGGAGGAGTTTAAGGGAGGCATTTCAATTGGGTGTTCGTGTGAGATAGATTATTTGGTGGAGTTATTTAACTAGAATAATTTGATATCAAAATATAAAAGTTTTTTTTTATGAATATTACTAAATTATATGTGAAAGACAAAAATTTGATCTCTTTTGAAAATTTCCAAAACTACGACTTACCATATTTTGTATACATTTTATTTAATACTATATTTATTACTATAACATTCCTTTTTAATAATTAATAATCACTCCCTCCATCCCACTATTATTGTCTCAGATCCTAGTTACTTGATCAACACAAGTAATTCTTAATCTCTTACTTTATATATCAAATTTTTATCAAATTTGATTTTGGTTTTTGTGACTTTTTAAAACTTTTAATGTAGTTTCTGAATACGTAATTTTTCCCCTAAAAATAATTTGAGTGCGGACAATGATCCATTTGCTTTATCGTCGGTCAAGCATCGTAAACCGCAGCAGGACTATAATAGTGGGACAGATGGAGTAATTATTGTTGTCCAGCCACCCCCAACAACCACCACCGCCAGTGCCACTGCCACCACTAACACTGTTGTTACCATCAGTCCATCACTAACATCGCCGCCGTCATTAGTCATTGGACTGCATTAGTGACTACCTTCTATGTCACTGCATCCCTCAGTGATTGTCGTCACGGTTGCCACTAACACCGCCACTAGTCACTGGACTACATTAGTGACTAGCTTTTAAATCACACCATCCCTCAGTGACTTCCGTCACTGTCGCCACTAACACTGCCGCCGCCACAGTGACACAGTCACAGCCCTCCGGCCAGTGACTACGTCCCTAGGGCTGGTTCGGTACGGTATACCGAAATTTCAACGTCATACCGCATACCGTACCGAAAATCCGGTATTGGTAAATGTCATACCGTTACCATATCGAAACTTTCGGTATACCGAATTTCGGTATACCGAAAATTCGGTACGGTATGTAACCCATACCGTTTTATACCGAAAATTCAAAAAAATAAATTTCTTGGAAATTCCGTACAAAGTATTAGCTTAAGGGGCCTACCGAACATTCAAAAAAACTGATTTTAACAAGTCAAAAGTAGCATACGACATCAATACATAAATCGATACCAAAACTAAAACACAATATTTAATCCAAAGTAGAAAATACTAAAATTATGTGCTAATATCTCAAGTCTAAACACAATCCATAATGAAAATTAGAATATTTATCCAACATAAATCAATGATAACTAATGTTTGTAATAACAAATCTTTGAATCATTGTTGCAGCTCCGTATAAATAAGAGATTTTTCTACTTTGGTAATATGATGGTCGTCCGCCGTATAAATATTTTATCAATATACTTTATCATTTGTTTATAAATATAGAATGAGCATAGACCAGTTTGTTCATATTACCAGGATGGTTAAGCTTTAGCAAATAATGACGGTCGTCCGCTACTCCGTGCTTCGTCAATGGCGTCTTCGTCACGTGTCCGCATCTCCATCGTCAATGCTCAATAGTCCACAGCTCTGCCACTCGTTGAAGAGAAGAGAAGCTGCTTGACTCTACGTTGATTTATTTGAGGAGAATTTGACTTTGCACCCCATGTTTTGGGTGATATTTGAGTTTGCACCCTATTTTCAAAATCATTAATGTATGCACCCCAATTCACTATAAAATTATTTGACTTTGCACCTCACTCCTTCACAATTTTTGGGCTAATGGGGTGCATACATTAATGATTTTAAAAATGGGGTGCAAAGTCAAATATCACCCAAAACATGGGGTGCAAACTCAAATTCTCCCATTTATTTGATTAGGGATTTAGGCCTCTATTTGGGAGAACTAGAGAAGGGCCGTAGTATTATAAGATGGGTTATTTTAATTTTGGGTCTTGAATTTTTAATAATTTCATTTAATGGGTTTGGCCCGAAAAATTTACAAATTCTATTTCGGTATATCGGTATTTCGGTATATACCGAAAATTAACGGTATTTCGGTATATACCGAAATACCGAAAATTTAAAAAATCCATACCTTTACCGTACCGAAGTGAACCGGTATGGTATCATACCGTACCGAACTTTTCGGTATACCGAAAATTTCGGTAAATTCGATATTTTTCAGTATGGTATGGCCGGTATACCGAAATTTCGGTATATTTTCCCACCCCTCTACGTCCCCACATACTATCGTTATCACTGCCCGCCCACAGTGACTCCACCAATTGGTGACCGTTTGGTAGTAACCGTCGCCGCCCTGGCTTGTTAACACCGCTACCGTCCTGACCTGTAAACGTCGTCGCCGGCCCGGTCATTTAGCACCGCCGCCGCCCCATCACTCCCCCATCAATCTGTACGGTCTACAGCCCCAGTCACCGCCCACCAGCGGCGGAGCCAGGGGGGGCGAGCCGGTGCCGGCGCTCCCCCTTCGCCGGAGTAGTCTAGGTATATATATATGTATATTTTTCCGGCGCTCCTGCTCACCTGCCGCAATTTCATTACCAAAACCCTTCCCCCTTCGCCGGAGAGCCGCTGAGCCGGACTGCCGGAGACTCGGAGTCAGAGAGGTGGAGAGTGGAGACTCTGGAGAGGCGGAGAGCTCTGTGACTGGACTGCTCACGTCGTTGCCGGCTGGAGGATAGGGAAGAACCGAAGAAGGGATTTAAAAAATATCAGACCTTTAAAATTTTGGGTGAATCACTGAATTGGGTCTATGCTGTGAAAAAAAAGGCCTATCGGGCCAAGGAAGGCCCAATGACCAGCACTCCAGCAGCCTGCAGCCCATTGCCCAAAGTCCCAATTCCCCCAAACCAAATTAGAATTTAGCAGGCAGCCAGGCACCTTTTCGGAAGTTCCGTCTTCCATTCCTGCGCTCAGCTCAAGCAAGAAGCCAAGAAGCAACCAACGAAATGAGTCACGCCGGACGCCGGACGCCGGACATCGCAGCACGCCAGACGCCAAGTTCCGTCTTCCACTTTGACCGGTACTTCTAATTTCTATAGTTCTATAGTCCTATTTTCAATTTTTCTATTTTTCCCCTTTATATTTAAATTAAAATTTTGGCAATTCATTATACATTTTTTAACTAAATTGTCTTATTAGTTGTTAATTTAATAGTGAATGTACTGATTACATATAAATCAAGGCTAATTAATTATTAATATATGAATTTATTGTTGTACACTTGTACAATTTGTTAGGTTAAGAATGTTGAAATTCTTAATACCGAATGGAAAGTCTTCAAAAAGTCCTTCTGAAGAAAATAAAAGGACAAAACTAAATCCCGAAGATTTGGTTGCTGATCCAGGTTTACGTAGACCTATTAATGATTTTGATCCTTTGAGTAGAGATCTTGTCCGCTGAGAATACTTAACTAGGGGTCCTTGTAAACCGGTTGGGCATGTTTATCCTCGTAAAAAATATGGGACCGATTATAGAAGTTTTCAACCCTCTTGGTTTGACAAATATCCATGGTTAGAATATAGCATATCAAAAGATGCCGCTTTTTGTCTATGGTGCTATCTCTTCAAAAATTCAAATAGATGATGTCGGGCTGGGGAAGTGGCATTCACTGAGGTGGGGTTTAGTAATTGGAGGAAAGCGCTTGAAACATTTAATACACATGTTGGTGATGTAGATAGTGCTCATAATAATGCAAGAGTACAACTTGAGGGTTTTCAAAATCAAAGACAAAGTGTATCACAATTGCTAAGTGCTCAAGGGCGTGAAATAGAAGCTGCATATCGAATTCGTTTAACAACGATTTTGGATGTAACACGTTTTCTTTTGAAACAAGGTTTGCCCTTTCGTGGTCATGATGAGTCTTCGAATTCTTTGAATAAAGGTAATTTCCTTGAATTAATTCAATGGTATACCCAAAGAAGTAAAGAAGTTGCCAAAACAATGAATGAGAATGCTCCGGGGAATAATTTAATGACATCTCCTAAAATCCAAAAGGAGCTAACTAATGCTTGTTCTGTGGAAGTTACCAAAGTTATTCTTGAAGACTTAGGGGATAAAGTTTTTACTCTTATGGTTGATGAATATAGAGACGTCTCAATCAAGGAGCAAATGGGAGTTGTTGTGAGATATGTGAACAAATTTGGACATGTCATTGAACGTTTTCTTGCTATGGTGCATGTCAATGACACTTTGGCACTTTCTTTAAAGAACTATATTGATGACTTGTTTGCAAAACATAAATTGTCAATATCAAGATTAAGAGGTCAAGGATACGATGAAGCTTCTAATATGCGAGGTGAGTATAATGGATTGAACGCTCTCATCTTGAAAGAAAATTCAGCCGCAAGGTATGTCCATTGCTTTTCACACCAACTCCAACTAGTTGTTGTTGTTGTTGCTAAGTGTAATAGAATTGTGTGTGACTTTTTTCAATATGTCACTATGATTGTGAATGTTACCGGGGCTTCATGTAAAAGAAGAGATAGACTTAGACAAATAGAACATGAGAGGCTTCTAGAAAGTTTGGAAAGTGGGGAGATTGTAAGTGGCAAGGGGAAAAATCAAGAAGTTAGTTTGAAAAGGCCAGGAGATACTCGTTGGGGATCACATTACATTACTATTATTCGCTTGATGTCTATGTGGAGTTCCGTATTAAAAGCTCTTGAGAATGTGTATGAGGATGGTGCTAATGAAGAGCGAGGAATAGCTTCAAGTTTAATTGATAAGATGGAGAATTATGAATTTGTATTTGTGATGCACTTGATGATATATCTACTTGGAATCACAAATGAATTGTCTCTTGCCTTGCAACAAAAAGATCAAAATATTGTCTTGGCTATTCATTTGATTAGTACAATGAAGGCCCAGTTACAAGAATTTCGAGATAATGGATGGGATAATCTCTTCAAGGAAGTGAATCTTTTTTGTGAAAATCAAAAGATTCCATTATCTAATATGGAAGAACATGTGAAAGTTCGTGGTCGTAGTAGGCGAAATGGAGAGACAATTTCGAATTTGATCCACTTTCGTGGGGGAATATTTTGTGAGGTATAATTATTTTACATCTTCTTTTATTATAAATTGATAATAATACTTTTGCTCAATAATGTTGTCTTTATGGTGTGATAGGTTCTTGATAAGATGATTTCAGAGATGAGCAATCGTTTTCCTGAAGCAAGTACGGAGTTGTTGAGTTGTATTGCATGTCTTGATCCAAGAAACTCTTTTTGTCATTTTGACATTGACAAATTACTCCGCATGGCTGAACTTTATCCGGAGGACTTTTCATGTACTGATCGTGTTTTACTCAAGCAACAACTTCAGACTTATATTCATACCGTCCGGGATCATGATCAATTTTCTACGGTTGATGATTTAGGATGTCTTGCCAAGCAAATGGTTCAAACTGGAATGAACAAGGTTTTTTCATTGGTATACCATCTTATTGAGTTAGCTTTGGTTTTACCGGTTGCAACTGCTTCAGTAGAAAGAGTCTTCTCTGCTATGAAAATTATAAGACTGATTTGCGCAATAGGATGAGAGATGAATGGATGAATGATAACTTGGTTGTATATATCGAGAAAGAGATTTTTGCAACCATTGAAAATTAAGTAATTTTGCAACGCTTTCAACAGATGCGAACTCGCAGGACACAATTATCTCCCATAATTTCCCAGAGTACTTAGTTTTGGACTTATATGTAAACATTAAGCTTTAGGACACTTAATTTAGACAATCATATGTGTTTTTTTCCTAAATTTATTATGATGTATTTATTTGATACATTCCTCGGCACCTGCTCGAAAAAAGTTCTGGTTCCGCCGCTGCCGCCCACCCCACCAACCCAGCCGTATCGTACCCTAACCCGCCTCTCCAACCTCCACAAACCCCTTTCTAGCCCCTGGATTGCCATTCCTCTAACCATCTGCTCCGCCAAAAGCCTAGTTGATAAGATCAATAACCTTAATAGCAGCGGGTGGGACGGCACCGACAAAGGTTGCGGGTGAGAAGAAAGGTGGGGATGATGAGAGACATTTTGGAGGCGGTGAGGAGAGGCGTCGGCGGAGAGGCAGCAGCGAGTGGGAGGTAAAGAGAGGCTTCGTCAGCGGTGAGGAGAGGCGGTGATTAGGCGGCAGTAGAGAAGATGTTGTGATGGCTCTTGTGAGGTGAAGTGCCGAAATGAAGCGAAGGCTATGGTGGCTCATGTGGCTTGTGAGAAATAGATCATAGGCAAAAATGAAGTTTTGAAATTAGGGCTAAGTGAGAAATCAAAAGGTTACTAGTAATATTAAGTAGGGGTGGGCACGGTCCGGACGGTCCGGTAAATTGGTAAAATCCGTAATGTATCCGTGAGGTTTTAACGGTCCGGTACGATCCGGTTCCAAGGATAGAACCGTTCGGTACCATGTCGTTTCGGAACGGTACGGTGCCATGCTAAACACATGCTAAAAAAATTGAACAAATCTTACAATTAGTAGATATCATCACACCAACCAATTCACATGGAATGTTGATATAAATACAAGAAATTGCATACATAGTACTAAAATTTACAAATACACAAATAGTGCAACACAACTAAGAAAAAGTATAGCAAAACGATGACGCACGAGATAAATATCATCTTTAATTTACTAAGTTCATGTGAAAATATAAAAACGAATATCATCAAATTGTTGAATATAAGATTTGGTATATTTATGGCAAAATTCCTAATATTGATGTCATTTTTTCAAATATGAATTCAAAGTAGTTTAAAATTATGAGTTTTTTCCCGGAATAATGTTAATTAAATAAATTATTCCCGAAATACTGTCGGGTTAAGAATAATTCCCAAAATACTGCTAGAATTAACCATGGTTAAGGAAAGCCGTCACTCCAAGTGACGGCTCTTGAATTACTTCACAAAAGCTGCTACTCCAAGTGACGGCTCTTCTCGTATAGTACAAAAGCCGTCACTTCAAGTGGCGGCTCTTCTCTTACGTCCCATTTTGTACATATATAAAACACAGTATGTGTCAAGAATTTGTTTAACTACTTTCCCGATTGAATTTTAAGCTGAAATTTGGTATGCATAAACTAGACTTGATGAGGAACATGCTCAAAACATTTCATAAAACAATTCCACCGGAAACACCCTCTGATGGTGTTGTCCGCAGGGGGTTTCGGTCAAGACGTCATGACAAAAGGGTGTTCCAGCCACCTCAATTTGAGCTGATTCCCGGTGGGATGTTTTGCTGATTTTTTGTGTGTATGTTATTTATCAAGTCTGGTTAATCCGTATCAAATTTCAGAAACAATCTCAATCGGGAAAGTAGTCAAATGAATTTTTAAAGATAACTTCGTTTTATATGTATAATCCGGCGTAGTTATCTTTCAAAATTCATTTGACGGCCTTTCAGATTGAATGTTTCTCTTAAATTTGGTATGACTGAACTAGACTTTATTAATAACATACACAAAAAATTTCATCAAAGCATACTACCGGGAACCACCTCAAATTGAGGTGGCCGGACCACCCTTTTTCATGACGTCCTGACCGGAAACCCCCGCGGACAACACCATCAGAGGGTGTTTCCGGTGAAATTTTTTGATGAATTTTTTTGAGCATGTTTCTCATCAAGTCTAGTTTATGCATACCAAATTTCAGCTCAAAAGTAATTCGGGAAGACAGTTAAACAAATTCTTGAAACATACTGCGTTTTATATATGTACAAAATGGGACGTAAGAGAAGAGCCGCCACTTGAAGTGGCAGCTTTTGTACTATAAGAGAAGAGCCGCCACTCGGAGTGGCGGCTTTTGTGAAGTAATACAAGAGCCGCGACTTGAAGTGGCGGTTTTCCTTAAACGTGATTAATTCCAGCAGTATTTTGGGAATTATTCTTAACCCGACACTACTTCGAGAATAATTTATTTAATTAGCATTATTCCGGGAAAAAACTCTAAAATTATTTATGAAATTAGAAGAAATTAATAAATTCAAGACCCACACATTATGTGACTGTGAATGAGATTATTTATTAAAAAATATTATGTGTCAATACTCTAAATGTGAGAACCATAAAGAATCAGATCATATGAGAATCGTGGAAATGTTTACTAGGAACCAGTTTATGCACACAATGAGGTCTATCACAATGAAACTATGAGGTTAGGACGTGTTAGAAGTCAAAACCATCAGAAGAAAGGTTATGGAAGATATTGAACTCAAGGTACTATACTTTTTATATCCCTAAAAGTAAAATAGAGAGATAATATTGTCACCATCAAATAAAACAACACCTCCCAACTATGTTGCACGGAAACGTGAAAATCATGAGCAAACATGAAACATACTTCTGCACAAATATAAGCTTGTTTGAAGAGTTCCCAAAGAGTTTCCGTAGAGTTTACGAAACAAAAACATACTCTTTCCCGAGAGTTTACATGCTACATAACCTCTCACCGATAAATGTAGCAACTCTACCATGACAATCAAGAAAACTCTACTAAATGCTAATCAATTGTATGGTGCAATATAAAGGGTCAAGTAAAAAAACGAAAATACTCATACACTAATGCCAAACGATTTCTCTAGCAAGACCGTGAATGAGCCTTTAGGGGTAGGCATATACTTGAACTGAATCAAATTGACCTAAAACAATCCAAAGCCGGATCATATGCAATTAGCTAAATTTCTTTCAAGTTGTATTAAACCAGAATTAAAAAAGCTGAGTGAAACCAAAAGGAACTAAAGAGCTCAATGAAACATTTATATATTAAAAATCTGAACCTAACTAAAGCATACTTTAGTTTTTATTTGGCAGTTGCTCTCCCAATCTGATCAAACTGAAAATGGGAAAAAATGAACTGAAACCTAAATGTCTGCCCTAGTGTGAATGTTGTTTAATTAACAGGAGATTTTGCATGATATTATCATTATTATGTATGCTTGATGTCCCATGATTCATTAGTACCTTTCGTACAATATCACATTTAACCTTATTCTTACTGATATATTCATATCTAACAAACTATTCATAACACTAATAAACTAAATAGTATGGGGGGGGGGGGGGGGGGGGGGGGGTGAAAAATAAGAAAAAAGAGCAACTTTTCTTAAGCTTTATCTTTCAGGCAGGTAAATTACTTTGCATCAGAAGTAGAGCATATAAAAATGGCTGCATTTAGTTTTTGGTGGATGGGAAGAAACACCAACCCAACACGCTGCATTTTTTAGCGTTTTAAGTTCAATGACTTTTAACTTTTCTGCTCAAACGCTGATGGCCAAACATAGCCAATGAAAACGTTAAGTGTTACCTTAAAGCATATATTAAAGCTTCTTCAAATTTCTAGCAATACCATACATACTACTGCAATACTACTTGCTGTATAGCAGTATATTCTATCATATATGTTCTTTACAGTCGTACAACATAGCAGCATTCCTTACACTCCTGTTGCCGCGGATATTTTTCTTCCTACATTCCCACAAAGTTGTGGCAGTAATCCCCACGAAAGCGGGCGTGACACTCTCCTCTTGACATCAGATATATACTCTCTCCAAACATCAAGCACAAGCCTGAGGTCATGTATCTTGTTTTCCAGCCCGATGCAACAATTTGCATGAACAGTAATGACATGGTTGAGGTCATCACTTAGCTCACAAAAACCGCTGTAAAATGTCGTGGGTAAGAAGGTAATTTGGAGGCCGAGCTCTGCAATGAAGGGATGAAACTTTATTCTGTTCAATACGTCTTGGTCATGATTGCCTGGGTAAAGTTCTTTTGAAGTGTACCAGAATTTGTAGAATTGGATTGTCCGCCTACTCGATTTTACGTAGTTGAAGCCTCCATTGGGAATGTTTTTTAGGTCTGATAAGTTGGAGTTAAAATGGTCACATGCAATTTGGAATTCGGAATCTGTGTGAAAATGAGAAAATGGGTTTCGAAGCCACATTATGTCGGCATCCTACACATGCACAGCAGAGAATATCATAAGGTAAAAAATAAGAGGCAATGAAATGTGATGTTCAAGTGCAAGTGTAATGTGAATTTACTTAAATTAAACACATATCTAGCAGTTGATTACATCACATATTATTACGGTTTACCAAACTACACTTAAGGTCTTTGTCAAAATATGGTGTCCCCAATACCCACAGATATGAAAAAATAACAAACGAAATACAAATTGAATCTTTGATTAATTACTTTATTGTGTTGGGTGCATTTCTCTCTCTTTTTCATGAATCTATAGTGTGAATTAATATTGCACAATTACCTTGCACAATGTTCTAAAAATCGCTCTAGGCACCCGACTAGTCCCCGCCTAGGCGCTAGGCGGTGGTTCAGCGCCCTGATTTTAGTCTAGGCACTTCGAATAGTTGATTTGGCGCTTAAGTGAATTAGTCAAATGCCTAGGCGCCCACCAAAAGAACCTAATCGACCACCTAGGGCGTCTAGATTCACCGAACATTTTTTACTTTTTATTTTATTATTCTAAGAGATGTACGTATCTTTAACTTTAATCACGGATATGAAGAAATCTACTTGTGCGTTAAGATAAAAAATATATATGTTAGTATATACTCTTAAATGTTAAAACTATGTATTACATAGTATTTAATATTTTATGACATAATGAATTTAAGTGATTAGTTATTATAATATATTATTAAATGTGATGATGCTATCATTCATGCATGTTTATGTGTATATATTATACATATATAGACACACATAAATACAATATTACTTATCATATTGATGCAAAAAAATTGATAAAAATATAACTTTTGTGTCCGACTAGTCCACGCCTTGGCGTCCGCCTAGCCGCATTGGCACTAGGCGCAGGGTTGGCGCCCAACTAGCACCAAGCGCCTTTTCGAACATTGATTTTACAATATAAAGTTATGCTACCAACCCCAATATAGTTGGGAACTTGGGACTCACAGGATTAACTGATTAGAATGGTGATGATGATGAACAAGTTAAGTGGCTAAATTTCATGTGTAGAGGAAAAACTACAAGCAGAGTAGCACATTAATAAACCATAAACTCATAAATGACAAACATTAAAATTTCCTAAAATTTACATTCACTAGTACAGTACTATTCCCTCCTGTCCCATAAAAAAATTCAATTGTTCCAAAAACAGCATTCTCAAAATAAACCCCACTGTTAATTGCTTTTCTTTTTATGTAAGCTTTTTTCTTTGAATTGTTACTAGAAATTGCCCTAAATGGAAGTAAAAACGTTTGTAAATTCCAAAATAGGACACTAATGTTTGTATTATATAAATAAGAGTAATTACTATCATGTTTTGGCATTGTTGACATTTGAACATGACAATATTTTTCAAGCTTGAGAATAATTATTCTTATTTTGGGAACAAAAACATAATACTACTATTTTGGAATGGGGTTTGTCCATTAATATTACTAAAAAGAGCATTTGGACAAAAAAGAGACTTATTTTAATTCCAAACATAAGATTAAACATAAAATATCTCACCAAATTACCCCTAATACACAATGACTTATGTGCAGTGACCAACTGTCACACCCAGTGACCACCGCTAATCACAGCTACTAACCCCCGTCACTGACCACAGTGACCAACACGGCAACACCCTATTACAATGACCAGCACCCCGGTCACCGTGACCACCACCTCGGCATTACAGTGACTAATTTTCAGTCAGTCACCACCCAGTCAATCACCAACCGGCCAGTTACCAACCAGTCAATACAGTTCCATGCTACAGTTACATGACCTAACTTCCAATCGTGTCTGCACAATGACCTAACTTCCATGCTAAGTCAGTACTTTAGAAGTTCAATATAACCATAAGTTTAACTTCTTCTTAACATACGTGCCACATTCCCTTGACCCAAACCAAATGGGGGGGGCATATTATGTTTCTATTAGCATCTTTTTATTTCTTTAATACATTTACAGGGGACAAACAATTAACATGTATAGCACACAAATATAAAACTATGAACACTTTGTATTTGTCTTCCACATACGAACACTTAAATTAAGGGAAAGTTCCCGAAATAGGACTAAAACCGTTTCAAAATTCCAAAATAAGATTGTCATGTTTTTTATTTCCAAAATAGGACTAATTACTGTCATGTTTAGAAAATACTGACATGTTTGAAATCTGGTACTGCCAAAACATGGCAGTAATTAGTCCTATTTTGGTAATAAAAACATGGCAGTCCTATTTTGGAATTTTCAAACTGTTTTAGTTCTATTTCGGGTAATATCTCTTAAATTAATCCTTAAGTCCAGATATTTAGAAAAGACAAAAACTAGGTTCTCTTAAAAATGTTCTACCACTGATATATGATGGTAGAAAAAGGTATTAAGACGCATCCATTTATAGTGGTGAGATAAAGTTTCTTGGAAATGCACCGTAAAAACGAAGTTGTATCCCTTCTCCAAAACATGTCTAAGAAAGTCAATCCTTGCCCACATCATCTTTAAATACTTCGAGCTCATAAAATGTGCTTCACCAGTAAAGTTAACGCCATTCGTATGTAGAGCATAGCAATATGAGTGCACTTCCATACAACGAGAATAGGCTGTCTGATCTAAAGCCACCACAACTAGATGATTCAAGAGATGGCGTGTTTGGTTTCCGATTCTAAAGCTATCCAGAAAAAGATCAAAAACTGAGTTTGGAGATGTCCATGCTGCATTTAAAGTTGTAATGATAACAGTGCTATCAATAAAAGCTGCCTTTCTCAGTACATTCTCCAAGTCATTCTCTTCTCCTTCCTTGCATGCGCAACAAATAAATGTTCTACAATTAGAGTGATAATAATAGAGGAACCATGCTAAATATGAAATTCAAAAAGATGTTGGTGACTATATGGAAGTAATTTAAATAAATACTTCCAGAAAAAAATTAACTTTCCATTTTGAAATGTTTTACCATGGCCTATTCTTGATGAATTTATTGGCCAAGTAGTGATGCCAAACTCCTTTTACTCTTTTCCTAAAAAGTATAAACCATAGATGTAACTAGAAACTAGAAAGTTATATTAAAAGATGGATAGGATATATATGTTTACTTCCTTTACCACACCAATATGCCTCTCTATTTATCAATTGCTTAACGGTTAGAGTATAGAAAGTAGTGATTGTAGAAACATAGTATGGATAAGTGATGAGAGAGAGCATTTATTATTTCAGAATAAGAGATAACTGCTTCTCTTTTCTTAGGATAATAAGAATACAACTTCCCATAAATAAAGGGATCTTGTTCATATTGAAAAAAAGTTTGAATAACAATAAATTAAATACTATTGACTGATAAATACAAATATACATAGAATCAAGTAGCAAACTATATTTCTAAACACGACAGGGCACGGTCCGTGATGGTAAGGTAAATTACCAAAATCCATACCATACTATGAGGATTCTTATAATTCGGTACAGTCCTGTTTTAGAGTTGGAAGCGATTGGTACCTTATGGTACCAAAAATTCTTACACGAGATACATTCATTGTTTTTCTCACTAATTGCAATTAGTTGTGTCAAACCCTTTGATTTTTTGTAATGCAGTATGATAAAAGTTTGATATGTAAAATCAGATTATTAAATAAAGTTGTATTGAAGGATAAAATAGCAAACTTGAATTATACTTCATGGACATGTTAGTATTATATTTCAAACAAGTACCAACAAATTTTGTGACACAATGTGTAGCGTTGGACATGATCCTAATTCGAACCCAAAATGCTGACCATTTTATAATATGAAAAATAACAAGAATTCTAACCTAATATAATTGTTTAGAATTGTCTTTATGGGTTCAAAACTAGACTTATAAATGGGTTCAAAACTAGACTTACAATTCATAGATGTACATTCCTTGAAATCGGCATTGAATAATCTATTTCCAATTACAAATAACAATAATCTCACGGACTAGACATAATAGACCGGTGACACCCTGACCCAACCCGGCCCGGCCCAGCCCATTCCAATCCATGCAGCAGTGCCCCTCCTTCCGAAAACTTCTAGGTCCGTCATAGGTCCTATCACAAGTTTTTTTGCAGGTGGATGGCTACTTCTAGTAGCCTCAAGGTCACACAACAACATTTCAACCAGTGACCTCAATGGATGTACAACTGACATTCAATATAACTAGAAAACAGAATGCTAATTAAGTGAATGAAAAGATGGATAAGGCACTGTTACCACGGAGTATAGATTGGTATGGGATGCATCAGGAAAGGTGCCTGGGGAAGCCTCATTTGGAGAGCGTAAATGACCAAGTGAATTTGGAGATATACGTATATAGTATGCCCAATTGTAAAGCACTAGAGAGGAAAGGCTAACAACAAAAAATATGAGAAGCAGCAAAATGACTTCAAAAGGTAAGTGATGAGCTTTATTATGGTGTTGATGGGCTTGGTACCGTTCTGACTCATTCAAATCCTCGAGAGCTTTTCTGACACAGCTTCCACTCCCAAGGTTCATCATCTTCTGGAGCTAATTTTTTGGGCATAAGCAAGGCCTCGTATATCAAAGGACTGGGTAACTCACTAACAAGATCTAATTACGACGCAGATGATTCTACAACTGAGAAAATCTCAAGCCAAACATCGGTCCCCTTTCGTGTAATGAGTGGAGTACAGAATTTCACATAATGAGCGACATCCGACCGGGTGTCGAAGCCTTTCGCAACGGTGGCGGGTTGGGCAGGCCGACCCGTTTGTTCTGCAAGTTGAAGACGTCTCCCAGCACGAGGATGGCGCTACAGTAGACATTCATGGTTCCCTGGCCTTGATTCAAAAAGAATTATTGTGTTATTAATTATTTTTATATTTTACTTATTATTCACTACATTTACATTATTAAAATAGTTTATAAATCTTGTTTTGAATCTTGTAGATATATTTTATATTTTTTTACACAACGAAAAAAACTGGAAAAACATATTAAAATCTAATACTCTCTAACACACTAGCATCCTCCCAAAGAATTTGTTTGATCCAATTTGGAGCTGATTCAAGAACTGAAAGACCCTTTGGAGCTTGATGTGCAACATTCGCAAGCCTATCGGCACATTTATTTCCTTCACTGTAGATATGTTTCATGTGAACGAATCGGCCATCCTCGAGCAGTCTTCGACAATCTCGAACTAGGACTCCGATATTAGCTGTCCACGAGCCGTGTCTCCTCTTGAGAACCTTTATCGTACTTTGTGAATCCACTTCCACGATGACCCTCTTCAAATCTAGCTCTTTAACCAACAACAATCCCTAATGAAGTCCCCAGAGTTCTGCTTTGAAACTATCAATTCTCCCAATGTTCAATGTGAAGCCAAGAATCCATTCCCCTTTGTGATTCCGAATAACTCCACCTGCTCTTGCCTCTCCCCCGTTATCCCAACTGGAGCCGTCACAATTTAATTTGAAAGATTCATAGTCGGGTGGAATCCACTTAATATAGTTAGTCACCTTTAATTGTTGGAAAAATGGAAAGTAATAATTCAACTTTTTAGCGGTCTTCTTACAATAGTCCCACCTTTTCATTATTCATGAATAATCCAACCTTTGCACTCCATCTTCATTCACTGGTTCCTGACCGATTTATGACCTGTTATTCCAAGTTATTTTCTTATCTTTGCAAAAAATTATACCATAATTTCCATCTTATGATCACATAATATTTTGCAAAGATAAGAAAATAACTTGGAATAACAGGTCATAAATCGGTCAGGAACCAGTGAATGAAGATGGGGTGCAAAGGTTGGATTATTCATTAATAATGAAAAGGTGGGACTATTGTAAGAAAACCGCTAAAAGGTTGGATAATTAGCTTTCCATAAACACCAAATAACATAGAGAAATTTTCTAGGATATGACAAAAACTTAATGAGTTTCCCAATCTATGACCTAACTAGTTTTTGGACTTTTGTATGACCGAAAATTAAAAAAAAACATTCCGTTTTTAATTAAAAGTTGAATGACCAAAATACCATTATTTAAAATATGTGCATTTTGCACTAATTTCGTCCAATTAAAATTACTGCACTTTATATTACCGTTATTGCACAGTATTACTGCACGACATTTTTGCACACCCGATAATAATCAATGCACTTTCGCCAAAATTAATTCTCTTCTCATTCACTTTAGGTAATTATTATTACTTTTTTTATTTTTTTAGATTTAATAATTTTATTATTTTACTTCTAATTGAGTATATTGCGTTTCATGGCGAAATTACTGCTATGTGTTACTGCACTACCAGTCATAATTACTGCATAACAAACTTTTGTAATGCATTAATTCACTACCATGCACAACATATATTGCCCATACTCAATGTCCATGTTCACTGCCCCTGAAAATTTAGATTGTAGTGTATCACTTTAATAAGTAATAAATTCATTCCAAAATGGCAAAAATATGGTTACGAATGCATTGAGAAGTGCATTTCACCACTCACAAAAATAATGAAGAAAAGAAACCTAAAAACACGTAAAAACACAAAGAAGAGTATCTGCCAGGGTGCTGCCAGGCCACTCCTTGAACGGCCTTCTTCTTCCTGTTCAAATTCAAAGCTGATTTCTGTTGCGGCCGTTAAATCATTCAAAGCCGGAAGGTGTCAAACGGCGGGTGAGCGGCTGGACGACGGATAGTCAAGGAAACTGCGGCCATGAAAATTGATCCAAATCTGCCAGGACCGCCATGGGTGAAGATGAGAAAGAGGTTGGACGAAGGTGGCAGACGGTGGTAGGCGGCTGGGCGGCGATTGCAGGCGGCTGGACGACGAGGCCATGTGAGACTGGACGGAGGGCGTGCGGCGGTGGTCTGGACATCGGTAGGCAGATAGGTGATGGGTGGGCTACAACTAGGGTTGAGAAATAGAGTAGGATGTTAGGGTTTTATAATAATACCTTAAAGGCATATTAGTCCATAAAAATTATTTATTTGATTATTTATTAATATATTAATTAAATATGACGAAATTTAATTTTATTTTTGGGAAAAAACTCATTAGATCATAGATCGGGAAAGTCATCATGTTTTAGTCATACCTAGGGTAATTATCTTAATAACATAAGCAAACCTTGAAGCGTGGGGAATCATGTCCGAATTTCTTTCCTTCCCTTGATAGTGTCTGTGAATCCATTCCAAACTATTGAGATAACTATCTCCCATCCTAGGCACACCAAATGCAGCTTTGGTCCAACATGTTGCAGCAAATTCACACCCACACAACATATGGAGGACGGTTTCCTCAGTATTACAAATATGACATGTGGAATCATTTGAGAGATGTCGTCTAACTATTTCCGCATTTGTCAGAACTTTGTTCTTCCCAGCCTGGAAGAGGAAGCAACACACCTTCTCTGCTGCATCTATTCTCCATAGCCATCTCATCTCTTGTTCAGCCTGAACCAAAAAAGAAGCCTCGTAAGCAGATTTGATAGTGAACTCACCAGTGGCTGAAAACCTCCAGTAAATGCTATCACGGTTCTCCATCTCGTGTGGTATGGGGATAGCTCTAACATCCCTCACTACATCCTCTAGCAGTCTCTGTTCCAATTTAGTAACATTCCACTGCTTTGAAGGAGTGATAAAATCTGCCACTTTGACTAAGCTCGCTGAAGCCGGAAGAGGAGAGCCCAAGTTTTCATATAGAGGTCTATCTCGCACTCAATGGTCAAACCAAAAGGAAATATCTTTCCCAGTTTCTACCTGCCAGCATAACCCTCGTTGAATGCTACTTTTGCACGTAATAATATCCCCCCAGACATGAGAAGAACCGACCTTCCTCTTAGCCTCCCAGGTACTTACCCAGAACAGTAGTAGCCCTTATCTCAGCCATCTCTTGCAGGCTACAATGCAAAGTAGCATTGATATTTGGAGAGAAGTATACACGTGATCTATCTTTGTTAATAATCAGACCTGTGCTCGAGGAGAATTCTTGAACCGTGTGTAACAAAGCACTTAAATTCCTGCACGATGCCTCGCTAGAGCAAAAGATCATCCGAAAAAAATAGATGTGAAATTTCAATCCTTGTTTGCCCCAACTTCACTGGTTTCCATCTCTTAATCTGTACCTCCTTACCAATGAGGTGAGATAAGTGTTCCATGGCTAAAATAAAAAGGTAAGGAGATAGGGGATCCCCTTACCTTAAACCTCGACTTGGTTGCATTTCCTCTAACTCTTGACCATTCCAAATGATTTTAATTTGCTTAGCTAATAAAGAATTCATAACCATTCTTACGAAAGCCTGAGGAAATCCAAAGTCTGCCAAAGTGTTTTCCAGAAACCTCCAATTAAGGCAGTCATATGCTTTATGTAGATCTAATTTCATCACCATACCCCCGATGGAGTATATGGCCCAAGAACCCCCGGCCCACATACTTCCACTACTACGATCAGGCCCAACAGGTCCAAATGGGCCAAGCCCAGCGAACAGGACTCCAGGCAGCTCATAATACACTCATAATACACAAGGCATGCCTTCGGCCCCATGCCCAAAGGCTTTGCATTCATGAAACCAAGTTAATAAACATCACAGGAGAACAAGGCTTGAAAACCAAGCCTTCGGCACATAATGCCCCCAGTATGTGGAGCCTTCGGCACATACAGCCGAAGGCGCTCTTCTCAACAAGATCTGCTCTCCTACATGCGCTGAATCACCGCGTCAAGTACAACGTCACACCCAACCACCGCATTTAATGCGGTGCACATGCAAGTGTCGGTGTCACCCCGATTGAGGAGACCCTCGGTCGTCAGATGCTTGACACGTGTCCCTGCCTAGCATTTATGACTACTATAAATAGCAGTCACTTTCCATTGTAATACACACACAACTTTCTATTCAAATACACACACTCTCTCTTACTTATTGCTCTGACTTCTCTCTAAGTTATTCCCCACAATAACTCCTCGGATAAGCTACCCCCCGGGTACACTATCCATCATTTGGTGCTCTCATTAAGAGGTCCGAACAATCAAGTAAGAAACCCTCCCCCCTCACCAAACACAAGAATACCTATCGAAATGGGAAGAACCGCTTGTGCCCAGTCCAAGACCCTTGAAGACAACAACCTGGTCCTCGACGAGATCGACGCCCCCGGAGCCTCCAACAGGGCTCCTGAGGACGGAGTCATCGCCGGGTTGGAACAGACTGCTGTCGACCTACGCCTCCAGCTCCAGAAGAATGCCCCTGATGCCCACCTAGGCATCGAAGCTCGGAAGAAGGACTAGAGCGAAAACCAAGTAAGCCCTCTGATCCTTACTGTCGACGTGCAGTCGGCGTTCTCTGCCTTCATACAGACGCTCACCCAGAACCCGGAGGCCTTCGACACTCTGGTGCCACTTCAACCGCAGGTCGGGGAGAACATCGTTCCTCCCCCGCCTCCACCCCCCTTTGTAAACCCTATCCTTCGGATAGGGAACAACGAAGGGGTCGTTGCTCAGGATACTGCCTCCCAGGAAGTTCAGTCTCGGGACCAGCGCGGTGCGAACAAAGATAGGCCCCGGACCTCCGCCCTCGAGAGGCTCGGAGGAGGGCAAGATCTCCGAGGGGTCCAAGACCGCCTCGGTGGTAAGGCATTCCAAAGACCTCAGGAGAGCGGAGGATCCGTCTTGAGGGTAGACGAGAGGCGTCCCCCTCGGGATAAGGGCAAGGGACTGCTCCATGCTGATGACGCCCGACACCAAATAAACCAAGCTTACTCAGCTCGCGACAATCACAGGGGGCGGAACCACTCCTGAAGGATCACCGGGATGGCATCATTGAGGCCCTTCAATGCCG